TATGGGGCCCAGCGCGCCCTTTTCGGGTACCATGATTCGAATTTCGGTAGAAAACTACAAAAGCGTGGCTTCCTTCGATGCCAAGGAAGAAAGCGTGTTCATTCCTTACGTCTTGAAAATTGCATATTAGTCCCTTAAATCCTATGGGGCCCAGCGCGCCCTTTTCGGGTACCATGATTCGAATTTCGGTAGAAAACTACAAAAGCGTGGCTTCCTTCGATGCCAAGGAAGAAAGCGTGTTCATTCCTTACGTCTTGAAAATTGCATATTAGTCCCTTAAATCCAAGAGTCTCGCAGAACGGTCCCGTGGTTAGTACTTCAGCTAGAAGCTTAATCACGGTCCCACTAACTCCTACCCAATATATGCGATCGCCAAACTACCCAGCTCTCCAATATTTTAAACATTTGGGAAGCTCAACTTAGGGTGGTTTTTTTACTAACCCATGGATAAGGAGAGCCCAAGTGAGTTTTGATTTACTTTAAGCTGGTATTGGGTTTAAACCTATTAAGAAATGGGTTGGCGAAATTTTATAGAGAGATGAAATGGTCACTTAGCCTCCAATCGGTAGATCTGACTGAATATTCCCTTAAAATTTAACATGATTTAACTTGAAGGACCATTTTACAATGCCCTATAGGATTTAAGGCAATAATATGTAATTTCCAAGATTTGAGGGACTAATGTGAAATTATTAAAGACTTTAGTGGACTAAGCTGCAATTTTAAAAATATGAGGGACTCATATGAGCAAAAGTATTGAAGATTTAGGGGCTAATTTCTTTAAAAAAAAACCTATGTTAAATTGGTTCTTTGGTACTAGTCCCTTACATCTTTCAATATTTTGAGCCAGTCCTTCCAACCATGGAAATTGCTATTATGTCCTCCAATTGTTAACTATTTGTGAAACTAGACCCTCTGTTACGTCCCTACTTCTTAAATTAGTTTGAAATTAGCCCCTCCGATAGGAATTGGAGGGATGCACTCGAAACAATTTATGAGAATTTAGGGTCCGGTAGCAATTTCATTTATTTGAGTTGTTGATTTCTCTCTAATTGATATTATCACTCTTCGTTTGAGGGATTAATTTTGGAACAACTTAAGAAGAGGAGGAACTCATAGCAATTTCAATAACTCTAGGGACTAAGTTTGAAATAACTTAAAATCTAGTATTAAGCTCGCACATTATTATGGATATTATTTACCGAGCTAATATGTTGCCAGATTAATAATATTATGGCTTCCATATATAATTATTATAAAAAGTTCGGCGATAAATATTTTTATTACTATTTACAAAATGGATTTTCAAACCAGTTAATAAAATAATATACCAGTTAGCAAGTTTTATCAATTTTTTATAACAGAGCCAGAAAAAATTTGCATATGTGAAATGTCCGATAAATGTTAAATTCATCGTTTGCTAGGGAAAAAATATGAATAGTGTTTGTAATGTTAAAAAAATGGAAAAATTGCTTCCAGACCCCAAAATTTAAACAACGGTGTGCCCCAGACCCTCATACTTTCTACTAAATTTTTCATATATATATATATATATATATATATATATATGAGATTAATGTGTATCCTTGTCATAGGAGGGTATTTCCCTCATTGTCTCATATGTGGTTATATAACTTCTAACTTGGCAAATACGTAGTGAGAGGTGTGCCCTTTACCTAAACTACAAATAACTAAAATCTTCAGAAAAGTACATTTTTTACCAATTTTCTCACATTATTTTTTTAATGTGGGAATTAAATCTAAGCCTTTGAGTCCTGTTGAAATCTCCTGACCATTGGGGTTATGTACCGTTCCCCATAGCATTTATTTCCCATACTATCAGTTCTTTTTTTCCAACGCATATCTGCATAAAATTTGCCTCTACACCATTTATTCCACAAACCGCCATTTTGTCAGCATTTTGATGTCTCCAAACTCCAAAGACCTGATGGTGTTAATAATAAGGACAAATTTTCATAACCAACCCATTTTGAAACTTAATCATAAAAATCGACCCATTTCAGATTTAATTGCCAAAATCTAGTTGAAGCTGGGTCGATTTTGGCGAACTAATTTACGAAACTTCACGGGACTTCAAGTTGAAGTCCTGTGAAGTTTAAGCGAGTTGTTAAACTTCACGAGACTCCAAGTCCCGTGAAGTTTCGTAACTTTTTTTTATCAAAATCGATCCAGTTTCAACCAACTTGCTAAAACTAAGTCGATAATTAAATTAGAGATATGTTCTTTTTTATAACTAAGTTGCTAAATATGTTGGTTTTAAAATTTGTCCAATAAAGGCCAATGTCACCTTTACCCATGCACGGACCTCTTATAGTTTCAATTAAATTACAGATAATTTTAAATTAAAGTAAGTGTTATTTAAAGGGTTTTTTTTCCTAAAGTGTACCTTTATAAAGCAGATGTTAAAAAGCATTTTTTTTTTCTCGTTGACGTCACCTTCATTCCCTTGAGTCATGACCGTGTTCTCCAATCATTACGTGCTTCCGCTTCCTTCGCATGGAAGGAAGTCACCCGCTTCTCATTTTCCACAGAATTTTTGAATCACAATAGTGTAATTTTTAAAAAATTTGGCCCTTTATTGAATGTTCAAATTGAAGTAATATTTTTTTAGGAAAAATTGCTTCAAGGCCCCAAAACTAAATTGTTGAT